TTATTAATTCTTAGGATCTTGAAGATTATATTTATGAATTAATACCAACTATGCAACAATTAGCTCAATTACAAGAAACATTTTATAAATTTTATGTTTGTACAGCTGTTCGAAAATTTTTCTTTTTTCTTGATCCATTACGTACAGGAAAAATAGCTATTCCAGATATTTTATGCAGTGGGTTTCTAGATAAACTTTTAGAAGTAAGATCATAATTTTTAATCATTGTAAAAAATAACAACATCTAAACTCTTGTTCTTCTAATTATTTTATAGCTTCGTGAAGATGATGCTGATACTGAAGATTTGGAAAATAATTGGTTTTCTTGTCAATCAGCATCAAAAGTTTATAGTCGTTATTTGCAATTGGACAAAGATCATAACGGATTATTGAGTCGTGATGAACTAGCAAGGTAAGATATTTATGTGTAGAATAAGAAATATGTATAACAATAACTGTTTGTAGCTAAAATTCACAAAAATGTATGGAAAAGATATAATAAAATAAATTTGTTTTTTAAAGGCACTCTCATACCCATTTCCGAAGCAAAAATTTTCATTTTTCAATTTATGACTGATTCATACACTTTCAAGTGTGCGCCTTTCGATGAACATAGTTTTCCCCTTGTCTGGTATACAAAAAAGACGTAAGGAAGTTTTCTAGAGACTGAGCTGCAGACTCTTTTCAATTTTGTTTTGCGTTTTTCTCAAAAGTACTCTTTTCTATAAACTTGTCTCGTGCCACAGTTTCGACTAGCAGAAGTTGACCAATAAGGAGCAAAATTTGACTACAGATGCAACTCATCTAAAACTAGAACAAGCTTTTTTGATTTTCAAAAATATTATTTCCTGCGTAGATAAAAACCAATTTTAGAGATTTCTATGCTAACAGTTGTGTCATTTTTGCATACTATTTCGTACTTTTGAGATTTTGATCAAAATAAGATGAAATTTTGGAAATTAAAAAGATTTGTCCTACCTTTAGATGAGTTGTGTCTGTGGTAAGATTTTGGTTTAAGTCTTATTGATCAACTCCGCCAGGTCGAAACCGTGGTACGGGAAATTGCCATTTTTGCCTCTACCGACCCCTATAAAAATGACAGTAAGTGTTTTTGAGAGACACTCGAAGCACAACTTTGTTATAACTCGTCAAGATGATTTAGTCATGCTGAAAAAAATAATGGGCCCATGATAAGCCGTTCTTTAGAGTTACTGGAAAGGTGGAAGGGGTGCCATTAAAAACGAATCAATCTGACCTAGTCCTTACTATGCGCGCACTCTTTGAGACTATCTTTCTATAACTTTTGGGAAAATAAAGCATTTTACAATATATTTGTCTTTCTCGAGATATGTTGAGACAACGATTGATAAGAAGATATGTAATCGCTTTTATTGATTGTATCATTTGATGTCATTCCTCCGTATTCTCATTTAAGCTGACAGAAAGGTTATGGAAAGACAGTCGTCGTGAGACAGCAATCCCATAACATCTCACGATGAGACGGCATTTTTCAGAGGATCTGTAGAACGGTTCGGGACAAAAATTTCATCTCATGGCATTCTTTCTCATCACATTATTTTATTTTGTTTTGTTAGTAAGTAATTTATCGTTTAACTATGAGTCTTGTGTTGCATGAATATAATGCAATGTAGAAAAACAGATTTTTAAAACATTTTTACGATTTAGGGACAATAAATTCAGTATTGTAGATATTAATACAGTAGCTAATTTAAATCACATTTTATTAATAAAAAAAACAATAACTTTTTATTTAGTTCCACGTTTCGACAATATATTTGTTATTATCAAGAAAAAAAATGTGTGGTAACAGAGATATTAACATAAGAATAAAGTTGAAATATATGAACTCTCACACATGCACCTATACAAGTACTAAACAATGTTGCCAAACAGCTAAATAGAGATATATCTCTGTACATACATTTACACTCTGCTCAGTCAGTCATAGTCATTCCGAAAACTGCAGGATTCCAAAATTGACGAAAAATTTTACGCGTTTGCAAGAAGCGTACGTTGCCATGGAAACAGAGGCTTTGCTCGCGTGTTATTTTCCCTACACTCGTAGGTTCTTGCGTGTTTGTGCCACAAATTTGCTAAACGCGTAAAATTTTGGAATACTGCAGTTTTCAGAATGACTATGAGTGACTGGGTGTATACACATTTTTCTTGATAATGACAAATATATTGTCGAAATGTCGAACTAAATACAAAGTTGTTCTGTTTTTTTATTAATAAAATGCGCTTTCAATTAGCTGCTGTATTAATATGTACAAAACAGATTTCTAGTTTCATATGTAGAATCAAGAAATCGTTTCTGAGAAAAGAAATTTAATAGGGTCTCGTGGGATCTCGTGGCATGAAAATTTTCTTCCATACAGGAAGAAAATTTCCATCTATCCCGTCCCATGACGATGCCTGGTGTTTTCGTAATGAAAAAAATAATTTTAAAATAAATTCAAATAAAATCAAATTTAAAAATCCAAAATATTTTCTTTCTCAAAAGATATTTTTAAAAATATATTAATTGATAATTTATTTTATTCTTCTCTTTAGATATAACACCAGTACTCTTACGCCCGTATTTATCTCGCGCGTATTTCAAGAATGTTTGACCTGTGGTGGTGAAATGGATTATAAATCTTACTTAGATTTTGCTTTAGCATTAGAACATCGAAATTCACCTCAAGCATTCATTACACTACTTATTTCAGATAATGGATAGTGACAATAAAGGTTATCTTCATCCAGGTGATTTAAGTTATTTTTATAAAGTAAGTAATTCTTGAGAAGAAAAAAAATCCAATAACAAATATTAAGAAAGTATCTTTTTTTCTCGTCTCTGTTCAGGGCATAATTCAAATGTTAGCTACAAGACCATTCGCAGATGTACCACCATTTAATAATGTACAGAATGAAATATTTGATATGGTAAAACCAGTTGATTCAACAAGAATAACATTAAAAGATCTTATTAATTGGTAAATTTTGTGAAAAAATATGCATGTTGTAAAGAATCATTTCTATCTTTATTGTTGTAGTGGCCAAGGTGGTCTAGTATTATCAATTTTAATTGATATAAACAGCTTTTGGAGTTATGAAAGTAAGTGAGTCAGATGAAAACATTTCGAGACATCTATTTTTTCTCTTTTTTACAAAGATCGAGAAAGTTTGTTACCACAATTGGCCACGAAAGATGATACAAGTCATGTGTAAACAACATAGAACAATTTTATTTTTTTACAATCTCAGTTATATTAATTTTTTCGTTCAATATTGATGAATAATCCATTCATTTTTGTGAATTTCGTCTTTTGTAACAGTTTGTTATTATATAGTAGTTCTGTATAATGTGAATATAATAATAATGTAATAAATATTAATTGACAATGAGATAGGAGAATTTTTTTTGTACATAAGACAAATGGTTTAAGATGTTTATCTCATCTATAAACTTTTATTTTCCTTAGATTAAATGGTATATGATGAAAAAATAAAATTTCAGACATTTGACATAGAATTTTTACATAGTTCTGTACGATATGTACAAATATTATTGATAAATATCAAAAGATTATCTTTTGTAACAAATTGTGGATATTTTTTACCATGTTCTAAGAGGTATTTTAACAAATAAATAGAAATTTTTATTGAAGGAAGGGCATATATGTTACAGGCTATATTAAAATTCAGACAGATTTTAAATCAGCCTAGGCTAACTTAAAATTTTAGTATAGCCTAGGCTATATTAAAATTCAGATGTCTGCATAGCTCGATTTTAAGTTA